AATAATTTTTTCTTGTTTCCCATGTCCTACAGCATCTTTAACTGTTAATTTAGGAAGAAAAGCTACAGAATTTGTTCAAAAAAATCGCTTTTAGGAAGGTCTTAACTATGTATTTAATTGAAATACGTGAGATAAAATCCTGAAATAAATGCGGCACAGTTGAGACCACATCATTTTTGCATGTTTTTCGTATGTATGAACAAATGTGTTGAGATATATTGTGTACAATATATATGACAATTTTTTTTGTTTTTTTATATGTATATAGATTAACTAACTTAGTTTCATAAAGGGTACAAATAAGGGGAACTCTCCAGCTGGTTCCCCATTAGACACCACTAGCATTTATTCATGACGGGTGTTTCTATCACTCAAAAATACAATCATTTTCTCTGTGAATAGTGTTGCCTTTCCACAGATCTGACGTGTAATGTAATGTAATGCCTATAGTTGTCTCCTTCGTGATAGGTAGTTTTAATCTCTAGACAAAGCAATAACATCTCCATGAAGACAAGCAGATAGTAGACCCTTCAGTAGAAAAGTTACGCAGTGCTTTAACAAACAGTTGGAAACGGGTCAGATAAAAAAATAAAAAAAAATGATTATTTTTCTTTCTAGTTTTTCAAGGAGTAGGATAAAAGTGAGCAGGCGACATGACTGTGGTGAATGTTTTTGCACTAAAAACATTTGGCATTGTAATAATAACAGCTCATTTTAAAATTATAATTGTTGTAGTTTTAATTAGATCAACACACTCCCACTCGCAGTTTGATCCATTTCAGCGCCTTGGTCATTTCTCTCTGTGATTTGTTTGCAGATTAAATGAGTTTGCACACTGGCTTTTGTCACATAAATACATTTTAAAGAGCCAGACTTTTGAATAGCTCAGATTTGGATCCCGTAAAAGAACCGAAAGTCCAATCATGAGCTAAAACTTTCCGATATTGTCTGAAGTAAAGTATAATTTTAGCTCCTGTGTTGAATGTTAAATGAGATTGCACAAAGGCCTTTCTCACATATAAAAGAGCACGACTTTTGAACAGCTCTCGAAAAGATTCTGATCCCGTAAAAGAGCCAAAAGTCTGACCACGAGCTAAAACGTTCCGTATTGTCCGAAGAAAAGTATAATTCTCGTTCCTGTGTCGAAACGAGAGAAGGTTAAAGTGGCACGTCCATGAGAAAGGCTCCTATCTGACAGATATGGAGCGGTGAACTCTGCCCCGTGGAGACGTGATGAGTCAGCCGCCGTGGACCTCATGTACAGTCTGTCACCATAGTTACTACAGTCAGACAGTCCGCGAGTACTCATACTTCGCAGTGACACCACGCTGGGGGGTTCTACATGTATCTCTGACGGCGGGATGTTCAGTGGTTACCATGGCGGCGCAATGCAGCTGTCAGAAAAGTTTTAAGATTCAAGACTTGACTTAAGTATCCTCAATGTCATGTATAAATGTAAAGTGCAGAGTGTTACCTGTAAATATTCAGAGACTATTTGAGAAAAGAACAAGCCACTACAATTTAAAAGGAACCTACATGTTTAAAAAACCCTGATTCAGAACCGAAGTTATGTATCGAAGCATCGCTGTGAAAGGAGGTAAGATATAAAAGAATCAAGTACAATGACGGCATTTTAAAAAACACATAAAATTTAATGTAATGTGTATGAATGAAAAAGTAAACTAAGTTGCTGTGCATAATAGTGAAGATTTATGTTTGTAACTGATTAATAATTGTGCCTGAACTGAAATGTACTGATCTGTTTTAAAGTAACTATCGAGTGTTGATGTATTGTCTGGAAAAGAGAAAAGGGAGCAGATAAAGTAAGATTACTCTTCATTCTGCTCATTTTCATTCATTTCTTGTATGTTTGTGACACTGTTGATGTCTTTTTATACTGTATGAATGAAATAAATAAACAAATAAATAGGAAGAAATACAAACGGATTGAAAGAAGAGTGTTCATAATCCTGTTTTTTGTTTGTTTGTTTTTTTTTTGAGAGAGAGAGAGACTAACTTAAAAACTGTTGTCTAATTCTTGCTTATTTGTGAATGATACACATCTCAAGCAAACCCAAAATATCCACAAATTCAAGATGTTATATAAACATACGGTTTGGTCACAGTATATAGAGTGTGGGTCTTAATATTAGAACAATACTTCCTTCTGTAGTGCTGGTGGTTTACGCTTGTGTTTATTACTTGTATCTGTTGTCTGTTACCATTGTTGGTGTGCTTATGTTATACTAAGGCTGTGCAATTAATTGAATTTTGATCGCAATTTCAATTTGTGTGTCAAACGATCCTCAAACTCATATAATCGAGTTGTAACGATAAAGCTTTGCAAAGTTTATTTTGGGATATTTTTTATATAAATAATACAGAGATTGTAGAACAGCTGGATATATAGTTTATTTTGGATACATTTATGTTTTTCTATGCCTTATTTCATGTTATATAACTATATTTTATTAATTTTATGTTATATACATCGCAAAATTGCTCTAAGGTACATATTTGTAGCCTATATTTATTTTCAATTTAAATGTTTTATGTAAATTATCAATTACAAAGTGTTTTTAGAGGGAAATGCTGACTAAATGCATCGTGTAACTAAAAAATATCTGGCTATTGATGAAAATAATCATGATTTTATTCCATAATTGAGCAGTCCTATGTTATACAACCAAGCTATAACAGTGACTCATTATCCGCACTTGCAAATAGTTCATATAGTTTAATGCAAAATGTCTGAAAAATGCAAAAGAAGGCTCATTGTCATAGATTAGAAGAGTGGGGGTGGGATTAAATAAATTTTCTTCTTCCCACTCCTTTATTTCTATTATAATTTCACTAATGTTATATGTTCCGTTGTATAAGAATGTAAATCTCTGACTTGCCCAAAATAAATACATAAACAAAACGAAATGTTTTTTTTGAGAGGGACTTGTTTAACAGCACAAATCAGCTCGCCTGTCGTAGTTCCAGCTAAACCAGCTCTTTCTGGTCAGATTGTGTTAAAAATAAAACACAGATTAAAGTCTAACAAACCTCAAATACAGAAGTGCTTTGGGGAATCAACACAATACAGAATACACAATACAGAGGGCATAAACTGTACAGTGTGTCACCATGGGCACCTGCAATCAGTGCATGAACTGTTACAATAACTGGTTTTGGTCATTGAAACTATGCATAAGCTAAATAAAACTTTTCAGTGCATTTGTAATTGAAAAACAAACTGTCATTATGATGCTAAACATGTTTATTATGCACAAACCTCTCACTTGTGTTGCCTTCTCTGCTTTTGTGCTGATTCTTGTGTTGTTTCAGTGTTAATCAGAATGAAAATGCATAAGAATTTGAGTCTGAGTCTGATAAAAATTGTGATTCGGCTCCAAAACATCACCACATCACTTGTCTTGATTCTTTTATAACAGTTTTTACTAGACAATGTGTGATAAAAAGAATATTTATCTAGACAAGAATGCATTAAAATCATGTGCAGGCGCTTTAACTATCATGTAAGTGTACTGTTTACTCCTGGCACAGTTGGCTTTTCTGTCCGAACCAGCTGAATGACTTTGACTCACTGGGAGTATCAACACGTTCTCATAGCTCTGTAATACTCCACATTCCAGCCGGAGCTTTTAAACGCCTCATTCCCCAAAGCCGTGCCCTGTTTTGGTGGCACCACAGCGGGCACTGACAGCGGCCTGCTCGGTGCTCGCTGGCAGCTTTGTTTGTGCGCGGAGGATCCATTGTTGTGACTAGCCCAGACTCCATGCGTGCATAGGCAATGTGGTGGGCGGGGCCTGCGCGCACACTCCAAACTGTACATTTTGTTCCCAGAAGCCGTTTAAGCGCCATAATAACCTTTGATCCCATGCAATACGTGAGCATATATGACCATTAGAGGATGCAATATGTATAAACCAGCATGCATCTCTGAAAATGATTAAAAATTATATAATTATTACGCAATTTGTGCAGCGCAACTTGGGACATTTTATGCAAATCGTGTTTGCAGGCGCACGGTTTTCAGACAAAGGTTTTCTCTTTTTTTTTCGTATGGCAACAATACAGCCACGTGTCATTATATATTTCCACTTAGGGTGCGTTCATATTTGCATAAAATCAGCATCAAACCCTAGAACTACTAAACCAGGACTAAACCAGAACCAAACCAAGACTTCAAGGACCAAATCATTAGAAGTGTGAACTGTCCCCCTGAACTATTTCTGAACCCGTATTTACAGCAATTTTAACTTTAACAGGATAGTTTTACCTGGGGGTACAATGCTCCCACCACTACAAACCCAAGGGGGGAAAGCCACGTCTGTCCCTCTGACCCCACCCACGACACGGACCCTCTTAGTGACACGTGAGCATTTGGAAAAGCTACGCTCGGGGGGCAGAGCAGCGGTCACTGGGGTTCACAATGGCTACGGAGATGCTGCAAGCTTTGACGGGGGGGGGGAAACACAGACGTAACCACGCACAAACGCGACCCGGTGACACTTTTTAATCCCTAGTGTTCGCTGGTGTCGACAAAAAGCAAATATATTGATTGGGAAAGCGGAGAGACTAGCCAAGAGCGGTGTTTTTGGAGTGCGTAAAGCAAAAATTGGGATTCCGCCGAGGTGACGCACGCCGCTGCCAGTCGCTGCTCTACGTTGCCATAGATATCTTACGAGCTGGTGCCTGCTCTGCTTTGCACCTTGAATCCATATTACCCGAGGCTAGCTGTTTGTTAGCTGCGCCGCTGTCTGGAGATGTGTTAAAACTGGGAACTAGACGCAAGTGCAGAATCTGCTGCGTTTGTTTTTACGCACGGACGCTTAGCCATTAGTTTAAGCCCGGATGCACAGTTTCAAAAAGGGAAAGGCTCCGGGGCTGGCAGCTTGGCACCAGATTAACACTAAACAGCCTATAATAAAGCTGAACGCTCTACGCATCGCTTGGAACGATGACAGAGGGCAAACTCGCAAGCTACGCACCTTTGGCTTTCGCTGTCTTCGCGTTCTTCTTGGCCGCCATGTTGCGTCTCTGGAGCTGTAGTTTGAAGATGGACAAAAACACGCTCTCTTTGCAGCAGAATTGTAAGAAAGAAATCAAAATTCAACCTCCTGGGTCATAAAAACTCAGGTCCGTGCGAGGAGCCCCGTCCACTTTCTCCCTGGCACCCGCGTAAACCAATCGGCGGCGCTTTGGGGATGCAGGCGGGACGTGGGGGGGTTCGGGCCAATGCGGTGCGAAGAGGCGTAGGGCTTATTCATCTGTGTGGATAAGAGCGGATATGCCACGCCCCCCACAGGCTAACAGACCACGCCCCCTCAGCTCCTCTGGAACGTGGCACCGTGGAGACCCTCCCCCCTCTGCTGTGCGCGTTCACTCTGTTATCGCCACACTTTTTATAACTTTAAAACAATATATATGCAGTCTTGTTACGTAAATTCAGAAAGAAAGACTACGTATCAAATTACAATAGGCCTATATGTAGTAACAGTTGTGGTAGTAGTAGTAGTAGTAATAGTAGTAGTAGTAAAGTAATAAAAAATAGATTTCTTAAAATTAGTTTTTCTGCTTGTAAAATCCTTGTAATGGGCTTTTTTATGAGGATCAAATGATAATAGGTCTATAGTAGCAGCAGTAGTAGTAGTAGTAGCAGCAGCAGCAGCAGTAGTAGTAGTAGCAGAAGTAGTAGTACAGTAATTTAAAAATGAAAATGAATAGTTTTTTGCTTGTAAAATCCTTGTAATATGCTAGTTTTATGGAAATCAAATTATAATAGGCCTGTCTATAGTAGTAGTAGTAGTAGTAGTAGTAGTAGTAGTAGCAGTACTAGTAGTACTAGTAGTAGTAGTAATAGTAGTAGCAGCAGTTTGTTGTTTGCTTGTAAAATCCTTGTAATATTCTAGTTTTTATGAAAAACTAATTATAATAGGCCTATCTATAGTAGTAGTAGTAGTAGTAGTAGTAGTAGTAGTAGTAGTAGCAGTAGCAGCAGCAGCAGCAGCAGTAGTAGTAGTAGTAGTAGTAGTAGTAGCAGTAGCAGCAGCAGCAGCAGCAGTAGTAGTAGTAGTAGTAGTAGTAGTAGCTTGTAGCTACATTAATAGTACATAATTAGATTTCTAAAATTTGCTTGTAAAATTCTTGTAATTGGTTAATTTTTATTAGAATCAAATTATAATAGGCTTATCTATAGTAGTAGTAGCAGTTGTAGTACTGTAGTAGTAGAAATACAACATAATGTTTGCTTGTAAAATACTTGTAATAAGGTAATGGCAGAAAGCAGAAGAAAGTCACTAGCCCAATTAGAAATACATGTTACTGTCCTTCTTCCAGGCCAGATAAGAGTCAGGTTTGTGGAGATGCAAGCCCACACAATAATGACACGTTTTTCAGCGCAGTAAAAACATCATACTTTTATTTTAGCCTATTTATTGTCAGAAAAGTTGCATACTAGGGCTACATACTACTACATACTAAGAGAAGAATCTGAAAAGACCAGTATAAACATGTACTTAAATTATTTTCTTTTCTAGCATGTAATTGTACTTCATTTCAAATCACAGGAGCTAAAATTCTAGGCTGCTTAATTACTAACTATTCACTACATTTAAGGTTGTATTTTCCTTTTTTTTTTGCCATTACAACTGTAGACTTACTGCTCCGAATGTCCAGTAGTAGTATCCTCTGTTTGAGTTTGGTCTTTACATTTGGACTACAGTTGATTGAGTAGAAAAAATCATTGTACCTAGTCACTATTGTCTTCTGTTAGAGCATCAGTTCCTCCTGTATTGTTTGTGTTGGTATGCAGGATATAGACTGCCCCGTGGAATGGACTCTTCCTCAGGCTGTTTGTGTACAGACAATTTGGTTATATACTGTAGTTTTGTTGCTTTTTAATATCCCCAGACTTATTACTTTGCAGTAATATCAGGGTGGGGGTGTTCCAGATATAATGTTAAACCGTTACCATGGTGACACGACGCACACATTAACAAAAACTGATAATAAAAGTTTTAAGATTGTCTGAAAACTCAAGAAAAAATACAAAATGGACTTAAACAGCAGATTTTCAGGAGCCTGTGATGAATACAAGTGTTAAAAAAAGCTCAGATTAAATATTTGATAAATACGCCACAAATTAGAGTACCTATTGCATCGTTTTTTTCTTACTCAACAAGAATTCAAGCCCTCTGGTCTGATGAACACCTGTATGCATAAGTTTTGATCCAGTGCAGCACTCCAATATTATAATTTTTAAAGCTCAGATTAAGTCTAATTTTGAGGAACAGAGCTTCAGACAGAGCAGTGCTTTCAGTTAGCTTCATACCCCCAGTGAATGTTGTTGAATGCTGTTGAAAGTATCAATATGTTTTTATCGTCCGCAATTAGAAATTAAGATTGGAGAAGTATTTTGTGTTGTATTCAGACCCTTCAGCATGGATCTGAAAATGGTGATTAAAGTGACAGTATATAACTTTCTGAACTCAACTGTATGTTTCCGTGGAAATAGAAAAGCATATTCTGGAACATATTCCATGGAGATAGATACAGTATGACCCTGTTTACACTGAAACGAATCCGCGTATCACTGTATCATCGTATCACCGTATCGGAAACAATCTGTGTCCACACGCGTCGTTTCTATGTCCGCAAGCTTTCCTTATCCACACAGCTTTGGTCATATGTGTTTACGTTTTACAGAAACTTAAAATCCATGGCTAATTTGCGTAAACTAAGCGCTCAAAATAACAGCTCGCTATTGTGCGTTGATGCGGTTCAGCTTGTGTCAGACTAAATGACACGACTCAGTGGAATATGAGTGTTCTTTCTGTAACAGAGGGGTGTTCTGCTGATGGTGAGTCTGTTCTGTGTTTCTGTCACATTGGAGATGGTTCAAGTGAAACTTTTCAGAGATTATACGTCTGCTGGTCATACACATAGAATTTGGGGGTGAATTAGCTACTTCGCGGTGCATAGCCCTACATCAGCGTATCAGCGTTTTCAGGCGTCCACACAGTGCCAGATCAGGTCCGTACTCAGATGAATTCGTGGGAGCTGACGGCACCAGATCATTCCATCTCTAGAGCCATTTTCAGTCGGATTAGTGTGGACGAACACTGTATCCACAACGAAAACGAGTCGAATACGGTCTAATGTTCAGGGGGCCTAAGTGTTATGCCATACTGGAAGGTTATAAACAAAGGAATAACATCTCCATGGAAACAAGCAGGAGAAGGTCGACCTCACGAACGAATAAGAGTCAGGTTTGTGAAGATGTAAGCCCATTGACAGTAAGGATGCATGTTTTCTGTGCTTTTCAGAGCTATAAAAACATCCAGAATGAATAAACATGCTTTTATTTTACTCTATATTTTGGCATAAAAGTTGCATACTGTTAGCCTGATTCATCAGCTGGTTTCACTTTGTGGAAACCATCTGACCTCGCAGCATCAGGATTCATTTGCTCAACAGTAGGCGGGTACTTTTTAAAAATTTAACCAATATTTTGTGGTGAGGTATGTAATGTGCTGCTAACGGGGTTAACTGGTATATTAAAGGTTGTATGGAGGAATTTTTTTTTGTTTCAAATTGTCAATGATAGATTATAGAGATGCAGTAGCCTTGTAATTATGATGACCAAAAAAAAAAAAGAATAAAAATTCATCAACTCTGGACGTGGTGGGGCTAAACATTTGCCAATAGATAACGACACTGCCTCGTTATCTGTTAGTTGATAGGCTGTCAATCAAACTCCCTATGTTTCTAGCGTAACTGACTTGCCTGCGCGCCGCCGGTACGTGGTTTACGTACACCTGTCACGCAGTCCACAGACGCACAGACGCTGTTTACTCCACCAACGCAACAGTTCTTAGCGGCTTTTTTGACCTATATCTTCCTCGCAGTTAGCACAAAGTTTGTTGCAATGGCAGACAAGAATCCAGGAGCAGTTCGTCGCAAAAGAAAATCCGTTTTTGAGGTCACTGAAAGAAGAAGACAAGGGGAAAAGCAGCGAAGCCAAACTAAAGTGATTCTTGAAGATGGCGCGACAGAAGCAGACGCAGGGTCTAAAGACTGACGCATTAGTCGCCAAATTACTTCTGGACAGGTCACTTCTGCTTATTATGAAAACGTACTTTATTTCCAAGAGCTACACAAACGTTTTTCAAGACACGAATGCGATATCCTATGTCTGAAAACACGCATTTCACGCATGCGCAACATTTGAAAAATGACAAACAGTCGCTGGATTTCTCATTCCTTGGAAAATCCTCTATACAACCTTTAAGCTTTTCCCAAATCCCGTGGGAAGAAGGGCAATAACGTCTTTCCCCTTGATAAAATTTACCAAACACTCTCTTTGTTCCGGCTTTAAATCCTCGATCTCGGGAGTCGTTGCCAACACAGAATATAGGCTCTTCACTGATTGGCTGGTGCCCGAACTCACACTTTCAGGGTTCTTGCAAACTGTCTAGTGTATTTTAATTCCTGACCTAGTCGCTGGAGAGAAATGAAATTGAGCGGACGCACTAGGTGGCACCAGCCTGGCTAACACACTGTGGCTTTAAAAAATAATTTTATTAAGATTTAAGTTTTTAATTAAGACTTAAGATACACACACAGATAGATAGATAGATAAATAGATAGATTAGAAGAAATATATGAAATGAAACCCTTATCGTTGCTTTATCATGTTAATATAAGGCTTACAGTAGATGCTTTAACCAGACATGAGTAGAGCAGCAAAAAAAAATGTATTCAACTCGGGTTCAGCTTCTTCAAAATAATTTTACTGAAACAGAAGTACAAAGTGTTGTTCAGAAATGATTGAAGTGCGTAGGAAGTAATTTGGGAAACTCAGATAAGGGTCACTGGTGTCAAAATAAAGTTTAAACTTTCTCACAGTGGGAAGAGGAACCACAACTTTTGCTCAAGTAAGAGTACTTCTCCTTCAATAAAAGTTTTACTCAAGTAGGAGCAAAAGTATGGTGTCTGAAAACTATTCGTATCCACATATTGAGTAGTATTTGATTAGACTGAGGCATAGATTGAATCAGAGGGACAGACACAGGGCAGTGATATGCGTCTCTGTGAGGAAGATGCCAGTCAATAGTCCACACACGAAGACCTCCAGAGTCCAGGGGAGGAGAGCGAGAAAG